GTCCCGGCGTGGGGCCCCGCACCTGCTAAAGCCGGCCCTGCTCAGGGGTTAACGAGAATTTTCTCCCTCCTCTTTGTAACAACCTTTTATGAACTTGAAAACTATCACGTCCTCTCTCAGTTTTCTCTTCTCCAGACTAAACAAACCTGGTTTGTTTTTTTCAATCTTCCCTCATAGCTCATGTTTTCTAGACCTGAATCATTTTTGTTGCTCTTCTCTCGACTTTCTCCAATTTCTCCACATCTTTCCTGAGATGTGGCGCCCAGAACTGGACTCAATACTCCAGTTGAGGCCTAATCAGCGCGGAAGAATTACTTCTCGTGTCTTGCTTACAACACTCCTGCCAATACATCCCAGAAGGATGTTGGGTTTTTTTGCAACAGCGTTACACTGTTGACTCATCTTTAGCTTGTGATCCACTCTGACCCCCACATCCCTTTCCTCCATACTCCTTCCTAGGCCGTCATTTCCCATTTTGTATGTGTGTAACTGATTGTGCTTCCTAAGTGGAGCGCTGTGCATGGGTGCTTATTGAATTTCATCCTATTGACTTCAGAACATTTCTCCCGTTGGTGGAGATCATTTTGAATGTGCGCTCACCACTGACGCTAACCTCTCTGCCCAACCTTGTATTTAGCTGGGACACTCTGAGTGCCTTTCCCAGACCCAGAGACAAGCTCTCTTTCTCCAACAGAAGTTGGTCCGATAACAGATATTGCCTCATCTCTCTGCTCCATTTTTATGTGGCTTGGAGCATCTGTGGCTTTACAAATGGCGCCCTAAAAGTTGCCTTAAGTTTTGCTTTCCCCTCAACATGTTGCACTTTGGGGATCCCAGCCTCAATCCCCTTGATTTTGTTGTGCCTGTTGCTAGGACTAGACCCCTACAATCCCCCAGCTCTTTAAACTAGTAATTCATTGGAAATCAATAATAATCAATAACCCCTAAAGAATCAGACACCAGGGAGCAGGGGTGTCTCAGATCTGGGGTTCCCAGGGGCTATAATATGGCAGAGGGGATGCAGGGGTGTCACAGTGCTGGGGTACGATGGGGCCCCGATCCCAGTGACTCTGTGCCTGGGCAGTGCCTGGCGCAACAGGGCTAGGCTGACCAGACAGCAAGTGTGAAAAATCGGGACAGGGAGTGGGGGTTAAAAGAAGCCTATATAAGAAAAAGCCCCAAATATCGGGACTGTCCTTATAAAATCGGGACGTCTGGTCACCCTAAACAGGGCCCCGATCTCGGTGACTCTGTGTCTGGGCAGCACCCGGCCTGACGAGACCCCGATCTCGACGACTCTGTGTCTGGGCAGCACCCAGCCCGATGGGGTCCCGATCTCAGTGACTCTGTGTCTGGGCAGCGCCTGGCGTGATGAGGCCCCGATCTCGGTGACTCTGTGTCTGGGCAGCGCCTGGCGTGACGGGGCCCCAATCTCGGTGACTGTGTCCGGGCAGCGCTCTGGCCATCCCCCCGATCTGCCCCCGCTGGGCTCTGGGGAACAGATCTGCCATAGCTCATGACTCCGGAAGCCGGGGCTCTGGGGAAAATAGCCTGTCCCAGGAGTGAGGATGAGGTTGTGCTAGTTGGGGTCATGGTGTGATAGCTGCCGACTCCCCCATCTCTCTCTCTCTCTCTCTGCAGATTTCTCTCTCGGATTCTTTTATACGGATTGATCCATTTTTTATAACCACAAGAAGGAACCAGCTAACGGGGCCCAGACGCCCTGACCTCCCTCCGCAACTCTGCGCCGTGTCAAGGGACCCTTCTGTGCCCCCCCACCACCATCCAGTGCCATCTGCTGAGCCCCTCCATTCCCCCTACCCGGGGCTGTCTCACGGGACCCACCGTACCCCCCATCCAGTGCCATCTCCCGGTGCATCTTCCATCTCCCCCGCCCGTGTGCCCCCACATACACCCCAGCTTCTTCTGGGGCCCCTCTGCACCCTCCTCACCCCCCCAACCAAGGGCTTCTCCCTGCCCCCCC